TCACTCTGGGCGTGAGGAATTGGAGCATGGGAGTACAGCCACCTGATGGCAGAGTCTGTCTTATATCCCCAGCCCCTAGCACAGTTCCCCCATGATTTCCTGAATGAATAAATGCCCCCTATTGTGGACAGAGAACATATACAGGCACTGGGCAGACAGGGTTCCTTCTCCCAGGAAGGAACCAGCCGTAATGAACATATATTTTTTTAATGAGGGGAAGGAGGGACAGATGCTCTCTCATGTCAGGACCCCGAGAAGTCCCATCGTACAGATGCCCAGCCCATGTAAGTGGCTTCATTCTTCCATTTCCCAACCTTATTTGATTAAGAAACTTTGTTGGAATGGGCCATTTATTTAATTTCATAGAATAAAATTATGGAATGTAGGAACTTTCCTAGTAATTGGGAACTTTTTGGCTGCTTGCACTTGTCTGTCTGCCTAAGGCTGGAAGACAGAGTCCAGAGTGGGGGGGGGGGGGGGACACTAGGGTTAGAGATTATGAGCTGGTATAACTTCGCATGGAGGACTTGGGCCCATGGGTGGGGCCAGGGTCTGGGTTTAGGTTTGAGGGAGACAGTTTAAGCCTGAAGCCAAGACCCCAGGTCTGGAGAGGTGTCCCCGCTCCTCAGCCCATTTCTGCCTGGCTCAATTGGTATCAGCTCTCAATGACTCTGATGTAGCTCAATCGGTCTCATTTGGCTTTAGCAGCAACCCAGCCTGCTGACCCCTTCTTCCTTATTGGAGCCTCCTCTGTCCCACCGGCTTCCGGACACCACTCTCCTCATTTCCTCCGTACAGCTTTGCCTGACTGACGGCTTGATACTTGGTTGACTGCTTCAGTCGTTCACTTAAAGAAGTATCTCTGAGCACGTACGAAGTGCCAGGCCCTGTGGTGGGGCCCTGGAGATACACTAGTAGATAAAACAAACATGCTTCTGCCCAGGGAAGGTTAGTGGGAGAGTCAGTCAAGCAAAGGAATACAAATACATTATTTAACATTGCAATGTCATACAGGAATCAGATGGGGCAGCGACAGTCAGCACAGGGACTTGCTCATGAGATGCTTTTGAAGGAGGTGCAATTAATTTTTGAAGGAGGTGCAATTAAACCCAGACCGAAACGATGGGAGCCCATCCCTGCCAATGAGCTCCTGCTGAGCCTCCTTATCAGCCGGTGCCCCCAAGGCTTAGTCTGCAGGCACTCTGCACTCCTCCATCAGCACTTTTCACTCCTCGCATAGCTTT